AAGAAGAAGAAGAAGAAGAAGAAGAAGAAGAAGAAGAAGAAGAAGAAGAAGAATCTTGGCCTGTCGAAACGTGGTTGGTCTTTACGACCAATATCTGCTGGCGCTATCAGCAACGTTCTCTTGGCACCCATGAAACGCCACCATTTCTACACTAAGTCCGAGAAAGTCCAGTTGTCCGTGCCCTTTGACCGTTCCACAGAACTGGAAAAGGAACAGATCTAGTGTAGATTCCTTTTTTTGTGTAAGTGTTTTACGGCGCTCGCAACTGCATACGGTCACATGAGCGCACGGGACACATTAACAATTTTAAGTTGGAGGAAATTTTGAATTTCCCCCGGGTGGTGGCTGAAGCCTACTCTTATCGATTTTGTACCACAAAGGGATCTTTAACGTGCGTAACTAGCACACGGGACCTCCGAGTTTTTTTGCCCTTGCCAGAGAAGACTATGTGCAGATCTTTCCTACCTTAAGATCAGGGGTGTGGCTGAAAAAACAGCAGTAAGAAGGATCCAAGGAGTAGTTGTAGAAAGGCTGCAGAAAGAGTCAGGAGACCAGAAGAGGGGCAGAGGAGGTGAGAGGGTGGGGGCAGAAAACGAAGACGAAAGCAGACAACAGAACATTGCTAGAGCGTAAAAGGAGGTGAAAAGAGACAATTTTAGAGAAGACAAATTTCGTTGCTATCCGAATTCGCACCTGGGACCTAATGAATGAGAGGCGAACATCTTAACCTGTAGGCCATAAGAGCCCTCAGATGCCTTTCTGAGAAGCTATATCCACCTAGAAAATGAAAGTTTCTAGCTCTTGCATTACATTTAGAGTGGTTTAAGGGAACAAAACGAATAAAGGGATTATAGCTTATTTGGGCAGGGGAAAAGGGGAGAAAGTAAGGGGTGTAAAAGATTCAGTTAAGATACTGCTCTGTTGTTTGTTGCTGTTGTTTTATTTTCTCTTCCCCAAAACTTGAAAAGTCAAAATTGGTTTGCAATGTTTGGGGTAAAACCACTATTCATTTGTATTATAACAAGGATGTAAACTACTGATATTTGCAAATCCCCCATCAGTACCATTCAAAACCTTTGGGAAGTGGACTGCTTGGACGCTCCGCAAGTTCCGCTAGTTCTATTGATATTAGTCTGGACTATGAAGCGGACAGTCATGGTTCGAATCCCAAGCAGGGAAATCTGGATTCAAGTCGGTTTGTGGAGTCTTCAAGGCTCTCGACCCATTTGGCTAGGTCCTGTCGGAGTAATAATATTTGTACAGTAATAGCATTTTGTACAGCTCATATCCCTCCTCAACTCTAAGCTCTATGCACTTGTACAATGTATAATATTATTACCCCCAGAAAAATCTAGGACACTTACAGATCTTTCCTGTGGACGGGCGTTTTGGTAATTCGACAACGCGCTTAAAAAAAAGAAGCATAACTTCTAAAATTAATAAGATAGGCGTCAACGTTTATATTATGAAATATACAAATTCGTGTTTGCCTTGTGTATAATGGTTCAAAAAGCGCCATAACATTGCCCTACTATCTGTTTCAGCCGCCCATACCCGTTACGACCATAAAGAGTTAAGACGTACTCAGTTGGGTATTCATATTCCACCACGAAAACACCAGCGCACTCTGTATCTCTCCCCACCTCTGTGGGACGTTTCCTATCTAGTGCTGGTTTTACGACATGTATTTTGATCGACCTTCCAGAGGTCGCCACGGTCGTACAGACCAGATGATGGGATTGGGGTAGAGGGATGAAGAAATGAGAAAAGGGGACGAGAGGATGGGATGCAGAGGGTGAAGAGGTGGGGGTAGGGAGTTGAGAGGATGGGGTAGAGGGTGAAGAGTGGGGATAGGGAGATGATGGGACAGGGGAAGAGGGGTGAAGAAATGAACGTAGGGGATGAGGGGATGGGACATGGAGGATCCAGGGGAATGGGGTGTGGCTAGAGGAATGAGGAGATGGGGATAGAGAGATGGGGGAATGGGACACGGATGGTGAAGGAGTCGGGAGAATTAAACGGTTTCCCGTCCATCTTGATACCAACTGAGCCATAAATGTACCCCACAGTAGTCTTTGTGTGATTGATGATAAATATGATTATACATGTGATGACTTTCTAATATACATGATTATACGTGTTATGGCTTTCGAAATGCTAATTGTTTTCGTTTTTTCTACCCCTTTCCGACCCACCAATCCCTGCCCACATTCCATCTCTCCTACCCCTGCCACATTCCATTCCCCCCCCCTTTCACCCCTTCCTCTTGTCCCTAAATACCACCACCTCTTATACACACCATCCTTTAACCCTCTTTCTTGTGTCCCCATCTCCCAATCCCTTGATTCGCCACCCCCCCCCAACCTCTATGAATATTTCCTACCCCTTGCCCCTTTGGTACCTCCACCTATGGCCCCTGTACTCTTTATTTCGTCTATCTTTCCCTCCCCTCATTTACATTTACTTTTTCCATTTTCCTTCCAACACTCTCCACAAAAAATAATCACAACGCAATTCTCCCCAATCCCTCCTCCCTCCTCATCCAACCTATAACATATTCTCTTTCCTCTCACCATCCCTTCCTCCAATCCTATTGCCCTCTCCATTCAACAACACCACTTTCTCCCCGACTCCTTCCTCTCCCTCCAACTTCATCCCCCCTCGCCCTCTTTCTCCACCTATCCTTACACCCTTTTCTCTCCAACCCCTCCCCGTCCCTCCACCCAACCCCTCCCTTTATCCTCTTCTGATCTCCTCATCCCATCTCCTCCCGTCTCCCCTACCACCCTCACCCCCCCACTTCCTCGTCCTTCTAACCCATCCCTCGTCCTTCCAACCCCTCACCCTCCTGCTAAACCCTCCACCACCTTTCTCGTCTCTCCACGCTTCTTCTAACACCTCTCCTCTCCACCCCCTACTGGTCACCTCTCCGATCTCCCCC